TATTTATTTGTTAGGTTTCTATCTGGCCTTTCAATCAGGAACTCCAGGCAGCATACATAATGTTTCTTCCTCCCATATTCTCCAACAACATCTCTGAGAGGTAGAATGGGTTAAGAGTGAGTGAGTGCCCAAAGTCCCCCATGGAGCTTTGAAGGCTGAGGGTCAACTTGAACCTGAGTCTCCCTACTCCTAGTCTGGCACCTTCACCACTATTCTACACTACCTCTCAGCCTGAGGGACAGTGACTAGCCTAAAGTCATCCAGGGAACTCTCTGGCTGAAGATGGACTTGAACCTGGGTCTCCCCAGTTCACAATCATAGGACCATATATTTTCAGTGATTAGGCCAGAGGTATAGTCCACACCTTTCCCACGTATGCAATACCCCTTTGAATGAGTAATTCCCAGAGGAAAAATTGAGAGTGGTATTAAAAGTTGAGCTGACTATATTGATTTGTTGACTTCAAACTTGACGATGTCTGGATGCATGGAGTTCCACTCCCAGAGCTTTCAACAACGGCCATGCTGATGGGGAGGCCTGGAAATTGAAGTCCATAAATCTGGAAGCAACCAAGGTTGGGAAACCCTGATTCAGTTATTATCTGAAGCACTCCACTTGCCCCTTCAGCTGAGAAGTGGTACCTGGATCTTAAAAAGATCAGTTCTTATTCCCATTCTCTTCTAACCAAAAGTCATCGCATGAAAAGAAAAAGCATTCGGAGGAAGACGTCCCCTCAAGTTCTTAACTATAAACTGGCAGAGTTGCCACTGAACAAACTAATACTGTGAGGTGTAGTTGAAGTAGGGTGGGAGGGAAAGCCAGCTGAAACTAAGTCATCAATGCTTGGATTCAAACAAAACACATCCCTGAAGATCCTTTTCTCCCCTCTCTGCTCCCATGCATAGCTAGGGAGAACTTCAGCCAGCATCTTTCTCTCCTTTTAAAAAGACAATTAAGGCAAAAGCAGAAAGGAAAGGTCAGTGCCATAAAAATGCCATCTGCCTGGATAAAGATGTTCATGGAATATCTTGCTGCCCTTTGCTAGACCCATCATCACTGGCATTCAAAGAGGAAAGGGCAACAGAAAAAGCAAATCTGAATCTCCTTCTGTTTCCAGACCGAGTGAGAACACTTTTATGTTTAAGCAGCCCACAGCCCCTAGGTCTGTACCTTAGGCATTTTGTATCTGTGAAGAGCAAGAGTCACCAGAGGTGCTTTGGCAGATATCTGCTAAGGCACATCCTTAAACATGATGTCCATCAAAATCCATGTACCTCTTTGCAATCAGTCCCTGTTGAAATATCAGCTAGAAATATTCTCCTGCACTTTGGGGTTTTATGTCTTATTCAACTAGAGGACAGAGAATTGACTTTTGCTCTTTGCTTCAAAGGAGAAAAGAACTTTGGACAGAAGCATAGGGAGCCAGGAAAAGGAAGACCACAGAAAAGAGGACAGTACAGTGGAAGAAAGGACATTCACGAACACCCCACACCTGTTTTGTGACTAGTTAAGTGAAAGAGCCCAATATTTTACCCACTGAGAATGTCACTCAACTTTTCTCCATCAAAAGAAATTGCAGAAGCCAATTCTCTTTTCATCAAATGAAGGATTGTAGGTTGAATCGGAGAAGACACTACCCTAGACCATACAAATGCTTATACATTCATGTGAATCTATGTAGGGGGTTCATCTGGAATGAAACCACAGTACAAAACTGTACAAATGACCATACTGAACTTTTCTATACTGTTCTGTCTGTGCTATGCACACATAGGCATATACCTGAACGTTTAGAAGATCCATAAGACTGGTTTTATGGTAAACCGTCCAGAGCCTTTAAATTCTACAATACGTAAAGCCACAAATCATGTGAATATTTTGATGAACTTGCTCTGTCTTCTGTCTCTGTGCATATCCAAAGTTTCATTTTAGATCTCCCTTGCTGATGTCTTCTATGGATAGAGGTTTTTTATTTATTTATTTATTTTTTAGAAAGTTTATGCCTACAAATTCCTGGCATGGTGTAACCCATCTGCTGTCTTTACTGATATTTGGATCAAAACTTTTGTGGCCTTTACTGTTCTTCAGATGAAGGATGGTGTCCCAATCTCTGAAAACATGTCAAAACATGGGATTTAAAAGGAATGCAAAGATGAAAAAAGTCCATCTCTCTGAAATATTGTGTTTTGTTCAATGCAAGAACATACAGGAGAAAACATTACAACACAAGGCACCTCCATTTCATCTGAATGTATCCATTAGACAGAGCAGATTAATCCTGTCATTAAAGTATTGAGCTTTTTGAAAATAATATAGACTTCCAAAGAAAAAGTACTGTATACAGTGGAACCTCGGGTTACGAATGCCTCTGTTAACGAACTTTTCGGGTTACGACCAGCTCCGGCCGCAAAAATTTACCTTGATTTGCGAACTCCGAGCAGGATACCCAGCCATTTCCCCTCCCGTGACACGGCCCGCGGCCATTTTCCGCCCCTGACACGTGGTCCGCGGCCATTTTTCCGCCCCTGTCACGCGGTCCGCGGCCATTTTCCGCCCCTGACACGTGGGCGGGGGCCATTTGTCAGCCCCTGTCACGCGGTCCGCGGCCATTTTCCGCCCCT